TCAGTACTGCTGGACATTCCCCTTCAACTGAGAGTCTCTTGTCTCTTTCTCCAAACATTTCTTTAATTATTCTTTTCCAATATAACAATATGTCAGATAAGCACCACCATTTCACAGGCTGTTGTATCCATTCAGTGCCATGTCATTGGTCAAAATATTTTTTTTTTAAAGAGAACACCCCACCAGCATGGTCACCCCAGGGCACACACCCCAGTGCTCCTTTGGACCCGCACAGGTGATTGCATATGCCAGAAACCAAGACAAAGTGATGGAAGCAGAATTGCTAGCAACAAACCCAAAAGAAAAGGAAAAAAGGGAAGAAAAAAACCCTAGCTCCAGCTGACTGAACAAAAAGCCATGAATGCCCATGAAAAAACAGACTGGGCTTTCTCCTGTTTAGCTATCCATCAGATGTAGTTGTGCCCTTGGTGTGAATCACTCTAGAATGCCTATAACCATCCCAAAGTGATGGAAGCAGAATTGCTAGCAACAAACCCAAAAGAAAAGGAAAAAAGGGAAGAAAAAAACCCTAGCTCCAGCTGACTGAACAAAAAGCCATGAATGCCCATGAAAAAACAGACTGGGCTTTCTCCTGTTTAGCTATCCATCAGATGTAGTTGTGCCCTTGGTGTGAATCACTCTAGAATGCCTATAACCATCCCCCTATTTATTTATTTTATTTATTTATTTATTCGATTTATATCCCGCCCATCTGGTCTGGTCGACCACTCTAGGCGCTCAGAGGCAGCCGCTGCCCTCAAGCAGCAGATTTTGCAGTACCAGTGTATTTTTACCATCTATCCATAGCATGGATCCACATGAATTTTAATGTACACTCATCTCCAAATCATTGCGCATCTCCATTTCCTCGGTTGTGGCACTTTCGTGAGAGGTTGGACTGGAAGCTTCTTTGAAGTGCCATATGTCCTCCCCACTTGTACTCTGCAAGGAGCTGTCCATGGAGTGCTCATGGTGTTGATGATGAAGATGAGGCTTGCCAGGTCTCAGAGAATGAACTGCTGTGCCAGGAAATGGCTGGGCTCCCCTGAGTCTCCAGGCCAGACAAACAAATGTGAGGAGCAGTGGTGGAAGGGAAGGAGCGAGTCTCATTTATTGTTACGGGGTGGCCATAGTGTTTGGGTACCCAACTCCAACCCTCTCCGAATAGCACCAGGGCTCACTGGCTTCCTGTGTCTGTCCAACACGACACATAATATACTTGCTTAGGAGCTCAGACAGGGA